CGTGAACCCGTCATAATTTAGAAATTATTATTTTTTTCATGTCTTACACCAACTGCTGTCTCCCTTCACCCACTTTTCTGTTGTTTGTCCCCCTGGGAGGCTGTTATTTGTCACTCACTGTGATTGCTTCCCCTTGCTGCCTCCACCTTCCCCTTCCCTCTTGAGCCACTAGTTTTTGTAAGGCTTGAAAAGAAAAGGGATTCCACAAATGCTCTTGCATTTATCTTTGTTGTTTGTCATTTTTGTTATTGTTTGGTTTTGTTTTTGAGCTTGTTTGTGTTTTGTTACTGCCGCTGCTCACATCTTTGCCATTTCTTAGGTACCCATTTTAATATGACAAACGAATTCTAGATTTTTCTCCTTTTTGTTTTTACCTGTGTTCTTTCTTCTTTTTCTTAATCGGTTTCAGTATAAATGAACCAAATTGCTTTGTGGAAGAGTTTTCCCCTTTCTAGAATCATATTCTCTAGTTAAGTATATTGGAAGAAAATGACAAGTGACGATCAAGTTGTATTCTCTTGTGCTCGTGGTAATACAATACGGAGTTTGGCCTTGCCATCACAGAAATGCTATGTAAACTCAAGGGAAGTCAAATATTTCCAGTGAAGACCAGATAGACGTTTGCCTTCTAAGGCGTCAGATTTCGTGGGCTCAGCCGTGCTCTGCATAGCTGTAACAAAACCCTGACACGTGAGGTTTCCTCCCCCTTCACCGGACCTTACATGTATTGAGCATGCTTGCTGGGCACCTGCCCAAAGACCAGGACCCCCGCGTCAGGAAAGATAAACTGAAATCTCACATTTAGAAGTGTCCCTTCCCAGAGGTCTTGAGTTGTTAAAAATGCTTCTTGTCCTTTCAGACAGATGAGATTGTTTTGTTCTGGTCCTATTTCAGGCTGTGGTGGGATCCTTCACTCTGACAATGGCACCATCAGGTCCCCTCGCTGGCCTCAGCAGTTCCCCGAGAACAGCAGGTGCGCGTGGACAGTCGTCACTCACGAAAGCAAACACTTGGAGCTCAGCTTTGACAGCGACTTCCTCCTCCCCAGTGGCGATGGGCTGTGTCAGGACAGCTTTGTGAAGGTTCGTGCGCGTGTTTGTTTCACTGGAGCTGACCAGGTTCTGTGCGCATAAACATTTACACTGGGGATGACTTATTACCTCTCAAAATAAGAACTGGACCGTTTTGTTGCTTGGATTCTCCGGATGGAAAAGTGGGAAAACTCAAAGGTTGAGAGTTAAGATTTGAACCGTGTCATGTTTCCTTGTCACGATATGGTGACTTCTCGTTGGCAATTAGGCAGTAGACTGCTAACCACAAGGCCAGCAATTCGAATCTACCGGCTGAACCAAGGGAGAAAGATGAGGCTGTCTGATTCCACAAAAATTTACAGCCTCAGAAACCTCATAGAGCAGTGGTTCTGAACCTTCCTTATGCTGTCTGTGACCCTTAATACAATACAGTTCCTCATGTTGTGGTGACCCCCAACCATAAAATTATTTTCCTTGCACTGTAATTTCGCTCCTGTGATGAATCGGTGACGCCGGCGAAAGGGTCATTCGACCCCCGAAGGGGTCGGGACCCACGGGTTGAGAACCGCTGCCAGAGAGGGTCACTATGAGTCGGAATCAACTCGGTGGCAGTGGGGTTGGACGAGGCACTTCGTTTTGGACTTTGTTCTCTGGTCTTGTGAACATTTGGTTCTTTCTTGTGGGAACTGGAGAGAAGGCTAGATGGTTTGGGTTCCTTCTCCTCCCCAGCCCCCCACCCTCACCGCAGTGGATCTTTAAGGACAGATGCTCTTTGGGCTGTCTCACAACCAATTTTGCAGGCAACATTTAATGTATGCTCTGAAAATGACTGAAGATTAGAGATGTGTCTGCCGGCAGCTTTTACTTTGGGCCTTAAGAGTCCACATGCTGAAAAGACGACAAGAGAGCTACGTACAAATGGTGTCAGTGGGCCACCCATCACAACTTCTGTCAGGTTGTGCTGCTCGGGCTCTGACGCATCACTGTGCCTGACCTTAACCAAGCTGGACGATGATAAATTCGTCTCCTACATTTCCTTCTCTAGATGTTACTCTGATAGATTGTCTCCTGATGTCCGGAAAAAGCATGGACTCTATGGCCGCACTGACTAGCCTTCTCTCCAACCTACCATCTGCTTGTTCTTTTGTGAGTTCATTAAGTATTTAGGCTTCCACTTATTCAACTATAAAATAGGGAGACTAATTCCTACTGTAGCAGAGTTGTTTGAAAGATCAGGGGTAATTTGAAACCGTGTCACAAGCAGTGCTCACTACTGCGAAAGTAAAACCACATAGTGATTATGTGTGGTCGTGGCCTTTCAGGTCATTGACCTTGTGACTATTTTATATCGCCTCTTCCGTTCTGCACACTATCTCGTTTCACTTTCTGTGAAAATGCACATTTCCGTTCATTGGTTTGTGCGTGAGATAAATGAACTCTCTCCTCCGGGAGTGAGATTGAGACTTCTGGCTCAGACAAGATGGCACTGGTTTGCCAGTCCCCACCACTCCCTGCTCAACAAATGCTGAAAGCAAGCCGTCTTCCCTCCACCCAGGGCAAATGATCCATGCCACTGCGTCCATGCCTTTGTGTCTGTGTGTCTGCAGCTTGGGCTGATCACATCAACCCAGAACAGTGACAGGGAAACCCAATCATGATTGAAAACAGCGATTGTCCTGCTACGTAAAGATGGACAGTCTCCTGGAGAATGAGTTAGGCTATAAAATGTAGCTTTAAAAACAGCTCTCAGAATATACTGAGGGTTTTTATGTGTATTATTTCTATTATGTTTACTTCTAGATACTCTCAAGCACCATTATTTTCAAGTCTAGGCACATTAAGATATTGACAGGGGCATATTGAAAGCATTGAATCATGTTTATGATTCTACCAGGTGTGGGCAGGATCTCAGGAGGCCGAAGAAGCCCTGTTAGCCACAAGTTGTGGGAACGTGGCTCCCAGCCCCATCATCACACCTCGAAACACGTTCACTGCTGTGTTCCAGTCTCAGGGGCCTCCAGCTCGGGGCTTCTCTGCAGCCTTCATAAGCCGTGAGTAGCACTGAAACCGGAAAGGTCTTTGAAAGGTGTGTCTGCCACAGCCAGGCTTCGAGAGCAGTAGGAAAGCTGAACCAGGCTCATGGGAACCGGAGTGGAAGAAGAAGAACAAGGTGGCCTGAATCCAAGAAGCTTGCTGTATTAGTCTGGGTACTTTGGAGAAACAAATCCACAGCAACTCATGTATAAGAGAGAGTTTTATGTAAAGAAAATGTGCATCACGAAAACATCCCAACCCAATGCTGCCCAAGCCCACAAGTCCAACATTAACCCATTAACCCAACACCAGTCCACAAAGTCCTCCACCTCACAAAACAGAGGCAATGATGCCAACTGCAGGAGGAAAGCTGAGTCAGTGAACGAACAAGCATCTCAGCACTAGCAGGGGTCTCCACACGGCTGCTCCAGCACCCAGGGCTGCATCGGGATAGGTCCATGTAACTTTTCCTTGGGGATGTCTTGTAGGAAGTCAATCTTGCAAGCTGAAGCAGGGAACTGCTAGGGCAGCTGCACCCAGTGCAACCATCACAAAACAAGAGACCCGAGAACTCGAAAGGCGAGGCTTCACCACCCATTTATCCCTCCGCCTTTCAATTAGCCCCACATGTGATTATTGGCCAGGCTGGCACAATTAGCTAACTCACTTGCCTACTCTTCTTTTAGAAGGCAGTGAGCATGGCATTGAGTTCAACGTGAGGCCGATTGTGTGAGAATATGAAAGACACGAGTGCCACCCAAAACCAGTTATCATTGAGTCAACTCCAGTTACTGGTGTCAGAGTCGAACTGTTCTCCATAGACTTTTCTAGGGCTGAGAATAAGCCTGAAATCCCCAGGGGCAGGTATTGAGCAGGAAACCAAAGGTTAGTTCCTAGCAGACCGTAGCGTGGCACATTCACTTCTTGCATCAAAATCTCTTGTGGAGCTTCGCAAACACACACCCAGTCTCATCAGAGACCCCAGGACGAGACTCTCCATGGATGGGGACTAGTACCTGGCACATTTCAGTTCTCATATTATGTCTTAGGCTCAGTAGACTTTGAGACACTCAAAGATCGAGACAATCTATTCAGGATTTTTCCCTTCCTAAGTCAGCACATAGGTCTACATCTCCAAGTAATAAGCGAAAATTAGGTTAGAGCAAAAATGCAGTCATTTTCATAGCTAATGTGGTTGTTGACGGAATTAAATTAAGGGGTCATTCATCGGAAATGAGCATTTAGGGAAATGTTTGATTAAAGGCATTAGAGGAAGCGTTGAAATATATCAGTATTGCAGGCAGGAATAGCAGAATGGGGCTGTGTCAAGGCAAAAATGAGGGCAATTCCGACCTAGTCTTAGACCTAGCCGGTCTTTGATCGGTCGGTTGTCCTGTGTGGGCATTGATGCGTAATAGCGTGTTTTAATATCATTTGGTGCGTCTCAGGAAATTTTGCCTGCGGCGAATTTAGGAACTTTCCCTTTGTCCTTCACTGATAAGATAGCTGTTGTGTGTGAGAACAAACGTGATGACAATAATATGCCTTTTCTTCCTCCTTAGGATGTGGAGGAAACTTCACTGGCCCGTCCGGTGACATCGTTTCCCCTAACTACCCAAAGCAGTACGACAACAATGTGAATTGCACCTATGTCATTGAGGCTAGTTCCCAATCAGTGGTCCTCTTGACTTTTGTGTCTTTCCATTTGGAAGGTAAGTGTTTTCCTAAGTAAATTACAATTCATTCGCATTCTTAATAGGAGAATGAAGAGCCCATAGAGGGCAAGCCAGAGGAGGTTCATCTAAAATCATCGTTAAAACAGTCCAAGTATGTTACAGAGGGTAATAGCTCACATCTTGGAAGACACGACTGCTGGCGGAAGTGGCTGCCCCGCACCCCTACTTCCGCATCTCATTCCATAGCCGTTGCCTAGCTGTCCCCAAACCACACTGAGATCAAAAAGCATGGGCTGTGTGCCCACTTCTCTTAGTCTGGCCAGATCCTAGACATCCTGCTATGTCATGGAGCCTGAAAACAAGTGGCTCTTGGCACCCTTGAAGCGGTCAGCGATACCACCAACACCTGGTACTTCATGCTGGGTTACCCCTTTCCAACAAGCCCAGGGCTTGGATACAGGGCACCTTTGTGGCGCAGGACCCCAGGGGGAGAAAGGGAAGCCCCAGAGCGGGAGACCCTAGAAGGCCATGCAGCGTATGGTATGTGCCTGTGTGTGTGTTGGAGGGGGGGGGTGTGGTGCATCCAAGGAGCTGTGTGGAGCATGCCACCAATGACAAAGAGACCCTCAAGCACCTCGTGCCAGGCCAGCCTCTGTTCATGCCTCCCACAGCAGCATGATGCTGCTGCTGGTCTGAGCATACACCTGGCCAGATCTCCCCAAGGGCCATGCCCGCACAGCAGCTTATATGGGAGCAGATGTCTGAAAGGTCGCTTTCAGAAACACCCCCCACCCCCCCAGCACATCTTGTTCATCACCAGTCGTCCAGAGGAGACAGACAAAGCCAGTTGCTCCTGCTAGTTAGTTCCCCAATCATGGGAAGTCCAGCTGGTCTCTGGTCACCTTCCTAGACATTGAGGTGCAGGAAGGGGTGCTTGTGATGCCCTGCAAGGCTTCCAGAGCACCCGGAACGATGCCATAAAGATGTCTACCAACAAGTAGCATTGATTCCTCCGTGTCTACTTCTGTCCCTGTCCTGGGGCTGCCAAGCTCCTGATAACAAGCCCCCTATGGGAGCCCGATGACAAGCCCCCTATGGAGCCTTTTCTCACCTCAGTGTGTTTAAGTGGACACCACTCAGCATTGCAGCCAGAGTCTGTGTCCAAAGTGTACCGCTGACACTGCCAGTCTAGAATTAAGGTGTTTTATTGAGGTTTGGTTACACACACACACACACACACACACACACACACACACACACAGACACGTTTACTATAAACATAATTAAAATCCCATTCAGCGTTGTATATACCATTCTATACATTCCATTCCAAAGTATAAAAATCATTCCAGAACATAA